AAACATAACCATGACCCAGATTTGAGAGTAGGTTAGCGCTTCCTATGTATTTTATTGTCTTTGGCTAAACTTCTGTAAGTGCAAAAAGAATGGAGACATAAAAGCATTCATCTGGAATTGTCTTAGGCCTCAGGACTTTAAAAAGGCATTAAGCTGCTGAAATCTTACGTGGATTTTACTTGGGTTATGGAAAAGACAGGCAATGAGAAAAATGGCTGGGAGATAGGCCTACAGAGCACAGAATGTCACAGTTGGGAACTGACAACTGCATCCTGGGGAAACCAAGGCAAGTTCCACAATTTGGCTCTATCTAAAAAGGGCAGGCCCCCCTGCAGTGGATTAGCTCCATGTTCTGGAAAAATACTGTAAATGTGATTAGGCAAATAGTTTGAATTTTTACAAAAGGACTGAAGGAAGCTCTTTATCTATAAAGCTAAACAAGAAACCATTCTTATTTATACCCAACAAGACCTTTATGCCACAAGTATACATGCTTCTCTGGCCAAAAAAGAAATTTCTTTAAAAATCAGCATTTTAAAAATAATAATAGGACCCATCACGTGATCTGTGAAACCCTAAGATTTTATTTTAATTGTCATGAAACAATCTGCTGTGTCTGTCACAGAAACAAAATTAAGTAGGGGATTTCAGTGTAAATAGCTTTGGATAGCAATCCTACCCTTTTCAGGGCATGCCTATAAAGGAATGAAAAACACAGGACTAAGCTGGTAACTATGGTAATATCCTGGGACAGAATTGCAGAATTAGGAGTATCTCACAGAGGCTGACTACAGAATTCCTGTGTCTGCCTCTTCTGTTCAAAAGTGCATTATTTAGCAAACATACTTTCAAAATATTCTCATAAATAGTAATATGCATAGTGTTTCCAGCATTTTCTGGACTCTGATTTGATTAAAGCAACAGCAGAATTAGATTACTTGATACATCCTAATAGGCTGAACATTTTGGTATGCAGTCGTATCTATTTTCTTCCTTCCCCACTTCCACGATTTCTGAGGAACTGATAAACACCAGGCACTGAATTCAGCACCAGAGCGTTAGAGATGACTCCTGTTCCTCAAAAAGCCCCCTGTCTGTTGGTAAAGTGAGACTGCAGAAGTCAGTACAACTTATTACGGCTAAATGCATTGAGACGAAGGGCACAGCAACGGGCCATGTTATGGTTTATACCTATGGGCAGAATAGAGCCAATAAAGAGTTTTAGATAGATACTCTTGCAGCTGCATAAAACTATGAATTTGAAGAGTTAAGACTGGAGGGAGGCAGATTGGTGAGGATGAAGGTTTGAGCTGGATGAGGGTCTGAGCCAGGTAGTGATTATAGAACAGGAAAGAAGGGTTGTAGAAATATTGAGGAAGTAAACTATGAGGTCTAATGGGTTGCTTGAAGAAGGGAGAGAGGGAGTCTAGTATTCTCAGAGTTCCAGCAGCTGACTGGGTAGATGGCGGTGCCAATGATAGATGAAAAGAATGTGGGAGAAGCATGTGTGATTGAGGAAATGCTGTCTAGTTTTACATAGGTTGGGACTGCTGCTTCAGTGGGCTGTCCAGGTAAAAAGAGATTCAGCAGGCAGGTGGATCCATGATTCTGAAATGTGAAAGATGACTACTGGTCTGAGATAAGGATTTGAAGCCATTAGAGTCTATAGGTCTTTAATCTAAGACAGCCAACAAGATGACTAGGAGAGAAGGAGGAGGAGTAGACTAAGGATGTGATTGTGGGAAAACTTATAGAAAACAGGTGTTGGAAGAGAAACCCCTGGAAGAGGCAGAGAAGAAATGGTCAGAGGTGTCCCAAAAATAATAAATTAAAAGGAAGACAGAGAAAAGGAGGGTTTTAACACTGCTGAATGCAGTAATATTCCAGTAAAATGTCCAGTGGATATGACAATAAGGAGGATGTCAGTGAGTTGAGGGGTATCAGAAGCCATTCACTCAAAAAATATTAAAGTCCTTCTATGTGTCACACACCATCCTAGGTGAACAAAGCAAGTAATATCCCTGCCCACAGAGACTTTATACTCTAGTGTAGAGCAGTCAAAGGGCAGCCTGTGGACTGGGACCAGTCCATGACTGTTACCTGTGCGTGATGAGATATCTAAGTACAATTTTAAGCGTAAGCATGTGGCAACTCTTACAGCAATTTTATATTGTAATGTAACTCATTTAGCAATTTTACATTGCCAGGAAACTCAAGTATATGATCATTTTCCTGTAAAATTCATTTTCCTTTTAGTTTACGGGAGAGAACAGGTCCATGCCAAGTAAGAAATTAACAGAAAAACCCCCAAAACAATGTGTTCACCCCTAAGGATAGTCTGAAAGGGACTGCTTCAGTGGACTGCAGTCAGTTGCAATGTGAGAAATTGGGAAAGAGTATAGAAGGCCTAGATGGCAAAGGGGAGAAAAGTAGCAGCTGTCAGCCAGAGAAGGATCTTATCTGGCCAGCTAAATTCTGCAGGGGCAAGGACAGTTAGAGTTCTCAAAAATTAGGATGCTAATATTTTCCTTCAGTTTTCTGCAATTATTTACATATTCATGTTTTAGAGAAAAGTGTCTATAATTATGTTTACACAGGCATAATTTGTGCCTTGTGAGATACAGAAACACAATATATACAAACACATAGGCTAAATAGGTTTCATTGTAGGCTGTGGCTGGTCAATTTCAGTCAGAAGAGCAATATTATACATGCATTCCATTCCCCCATACAGACTGTCTTTCTGTCCTGGGTGTTATCAGGTGCTAGACATGCAAGTGTTAGGCCTAGACAGGGCCTGTGTTTATCTGTCATTTTGGAAATTGGATATTTTGTTAGAAAAAGAACTGACACTAATGAAAATATAAGTTGCCATTTACTACCCAGCACCACGTGCAGGTTAATTAATAGAACACACAGCCTGGAAGAAGCCAGCAATTTTCCATTTAGCTTTTTCAGATATTAGAACTAGATAGCATCATCAAATAACACACATACGCTCAGGCAATTTATAACTTTATGGTTAAAGGGGGAAGAAATCACTGCTTCAAAATCCTTCACAATCCACTTATCCTAGAGTCATAGATTGTTGGGTACCAAGGTTCCTGTAAAGGTTATTACATTAATTTTCTATTACTATAAATGATGACCAGAATCAATTTATAGCAAGTAGCAATCAGGTGAGTTTCTTTTTTTTTCTTCCTCCTTCTTTGCTTCTCTGGAATGTGAACTCCATTTCATGGTTATAACTTGTAAGCAAAAAAAAAAAAAAAAAGAATTTTTTTTCAGGGAAAAGCAAAATGAATCAGAAAACTATACGGTGCATGGTTCTTACCTCCTGTAGCAACTTATCTAATTTGTGCTGTAATTCAAGGAAGTATCGTGAGGTGATGAGGCCCTGGTGGGATTTATCCAAGCAATCTCGAGCCAGTTCAATAATCTGGTGGTGAGTGAAACTAAGCACTCCATCTGCTAGGGGTAGAACATTGTCAGGAGAGTAGCTGGTGATAATTTCCTTTAGACGTTCTTCCATCTGAGCTGTAGCCTATATAGAGAAGACACACATACACAGATGTAATACGAGGAAACACACATGTAAACAATTCGACCATCACATTTTTTAGAGCATTTTCAGAGAACACAAGTCATTAAATGGGATTCTAGAAATCAAATTTAAAAGAAGCCTCACTTCTGATAAAATAATGGTACATACACGTCATCAGACATTTGTCCGAACCCACTGATTGTACAACACAAAGGGTGAATGAACCCTAATGCATGTGGGGGGTGTTCACACATAGCCTTTCCAGGTACATGGGAAATCTTTGTGCTTTCTGCTCAATTTTGTTGTGAAGCTAAAACTGTTCTTAAAAAGTTGCTTACAAAAAGCAGCAGCCTCAGCATGTGAAATAAAGATCTGAGGATACATAAGTGAAATCAATATTTCAGAATGATAATCTCCCTTTTCTGTGTTCTATCAAATGTAAAATGGTCCCTGTAAGCTTCTTCAAGTAACTCAAATTGTATCTGTGAATTGTTATGCTTTCATTTAAGATCTTGGGCTCTTTCAGATGGATTGTCCAAAATATCAAATATTTCTTTATGTTTTTGTACTTAGACATCAGGATGTTGCTAGAGTTCCATGACCTAAGCTAAAAATGTATCTTTTTTGGCTAGGTTTTAATGTGCCAGGAGCACACATCTTATATCATCTTCTTTTCCCAAAAAGCTACATCCTATGCAAAAGTCCCAGGGGACTCCCTTGGTAAAATAAACCTAAAATTTCCTTTCCAACTTTCATTTCATTCTCTCTGACCAGAGAGAATGACCCACTGCCTAATCCATATTCCTTACTTACATTAATTATATATGCAGGGAGACTCCCTCTCCTTCCTCTCTCCTCCTCCCCTCTAATATCCTAACCTGCATTAACTAGGTAACAGTCAGTATCTGTTTCCCTGGTGAGCAAGTTACATGTGATAAATAGCTAAAACAGCTTTAATCAATGACATCAATGCTGGGTTAGTTGCAAATAAGAAGTACTCTACTCTTGATTTATGAAACCAAAGATTTTCATTTGTTCTCCAGCTTAGGGCAACACAGGCTGTGGGGGCGGATCAGGAAAAACATGGAGAGTGGCCTTTTCTCAAATGTGCAGAAATGCTTTGGCGGGAAAGATGTGGAAACAAGGTGAGTTAATGGGACCATCTGGGAGCAGGTCCTTGCAGCCAAGGGCTTGGCAGCAACTCTTCACAGTTGCTCTCTCAATTCATGTTCTTTTACCAGTCTAACTGGAGAGCACGACAACTGTGCCTTTTCTTCTAAATTAATAGGGTTAGAAATACAATGTCTAAAGAGATGGGAAATCACAGAAAAGTAATGTGGAAAAAAAAACCTCTCATGACACACCAATCTACAGGCTTCTAATGGAGAAAAACAGTCTCTACTTAACAATATGCTGTAGGACCAGAACATGGGTACAAAGTGCATAGTCTAGAGGCCTTTCAAAGTAGACCCTCCCTACGGCACCTCACCAGGCCTGCCCCATGTGTGGTGCACAAGTGGCAGGTTCACTTTAGAGCCAGCTCAGCATACAGAGAGCACAGCTAGTTCTCAGCAGTTGTTAGCTTAACATTTTTTTTTTAAGTTATTTTCTCTTTCTAAGAAGACTATGGAGCTGTTTTATGCAAATCATTACTAGATTGGACCCTTACTTCCCATAACAAAACCACCTTATAGACTCTAAACCTATGCTGCCTGTTCGTTTAGATGCTAGGCATCTTCAATTCAATTCATTACCTTTGGGAACCTTTCTTTGTAGACATGGTTCATCATAATTATTTCATGGTCACAGCAGGCGGGAGAACGTCCAGGGCTGCAAGCAAAGCAAATTACCCTTTTAAACTTGCCACAGCATGAAATGAAAATAAGCTTTTTATTTATAAACAGTCAGCTGCATCAAAAGTACTATGCAACCTTTGTAAGAAAAGTATATTAGATAATAAAGTACAAAATCAGTCATTAGTACACATGCACACATACATTCCCACAAACACAGAAACACACTGAATAGGACTGAAAAAGAAAGCTCAAGAAGTGGAATGCCACAAAGTCATCATAGTTACAATACAATACTAGTTCAGAAAGTGTTTGTAAATTGAAATTATATTCTGCACGTAGTGTGAGCTTGCATAAGATCTGGAAAACAATTAACAAACTGCAAAATAAAACAAAATAGGGTAGCTACAAACAGCAACATCTAGGACACGTTTAACAGTGTAATTTCACACTTTTATCATACACCTGCGGTCTGCCACACATCACTGAAAAGGTCTGAGTCTTCCATGGCACAGGTGTCATAATTGAAATTCATTTTCTAGCCTAGCAAATATTTATCTGGGATGCTGAGGTAGGCATTATGTATAATATGAAACGGAGGCATACAACTGTTGTGCATTCTTCTTTACTCTTTCAATAGTAGGTTCATCTTCCTTCCTAGTGGTATATAGTTGTGCAACTTCAGTGTGTTTATATTCCTAAAGGGATACAGCTTATACTACGCATCTTAGGAATTCCTTTAATAAAACAAAAAATGGCACCCATGTGGTAAAACACGGTGCCTGTAGATGAAATAGTAAAACCAGTTGTTAATTCCATATCTCAGAATAATCTAACATGTCTCACAATTATCCAGTGTGGCTATATTTACTATTAGCTTATGAGTCTAAGTGAAGACAAAAAGTACAAAGGCAAATTGCTTCTCATTAAACTTTGATATTCAACTGACCACCTAATAAACAAGCTATTTTTTAATATAATAAAACCTTAAGATATCAAAGTTCACTAATTCTATAGCATCAAGATCTCATACTGCAGTGGACAAGGTGATGCCCTGTCATGATCCCTCCTTCAAAGAAGGACCTGTTGCCCGGCTGCTGGGAGTGCTGTCCACAGAAACCTTCAGCTGTCAGTCCCTGCAGGGATGGCATCAGCTGCAAGAAGTCATCTCGCCTGAGGCTGAGTCTTTCCCAGGGTGCCACATCCAGTGAGGGACACAATGACTGAGGTAGGGATATAAACGAAGACACAATTGGGCCAAGGGAGTAACTCTGCTGAGTCCTGTCGTTCCCGAGCTCTCTGTGGAGTTGGCTAAAGCTGCTGGACTTCTCCCTCTGCCCAATCCTGCCTCCCCCTTCCCTCCCACAGGTGCTAATTTCAAAAGCACTCCCGGAGAAACATCCTGAACAAGAAGCTCTGTTTTAGATTCTGCTTCCTGAAGAAACAAACTCACAGTAAAACTGGCCCTATTCAGTGTCAAGTGGACTACATTTGGCATCCACAAACTTCAGGTGACACAAACTCCTAAAAATGTGCTCACAGTCTTAGAGAAAGTAAGACTTATGACAGGAAGAAAGAATAAAAAGGTATTTTGTAATATGAAATCTGGAATTTAAAAAAATCCTCCTATTCCTGTTGTCGTTCTATTTCCACCAAGCTGTTACCTCTTAACATAACAACATTAACTGCTTTTGCACTGCCTTGAAATTTCCAGTGGCTAGACGTTTTCATAGGTAGTCCTGAGACCATCATGATTACTACTACTGCTGCAATCAGCAAATTGTGAGAACTGAAAAGGAAAATTATAAGATGCCTTTCAGTGGTCATTAACAATATTATGTGTACATGGAAACATTACGCTATATTTGTAATAGTTTGCAAGTCAGTTCACACACATATGAACTAAAGGACTAAAGTCTTCACTCAAAATGTTTGAAAATAGAGAATCCAATTAAGTAATGGTTTTCAGCCAGGCCCACATACCTCAGACTTCGGGAACGGGGGCGCATCGGCGTGTTCCTGCATCTGTTCTCAGTGGCGATGCTTTCGGTGGTACAGAAATGTTTCGACAAGAAGTGTAACTCGTCCGGTGTTGGTTGGTATGGTAACTGATGCAACTTCTCCTGGGAGGAACAGGATGACTGAAACAAACCAAAGTGAGGTCACATAACTATCTCAGAAAGAAACTCTTCAAAAGAATAGGAGAGATCGATTAGTTAAACTTGGGTAATACTACCATTTTTATTGTTTCTTTTTCAGGTTAAAGTTGTAAGAACTACTGCCTAAATGTATAACTTGATGTTCTCTCTCAGAGTTCAAAATGCTTTCCATATTTTGCCTCATTTGTTTATAATTTCCCAAAAGGTAGTTTTCTCTCTGGAGAAAATCCAGGCTGTGAAAATGGATCGGAACCAGTCAAAGCCAAAGCAAGAAAGCAACCACTGGAGTGACATTAGGGAGCACTGTATCGCAGATTAGCTTTCAGTTGAACATGGCACCCCCGAGTTTACTGCTGCTCAAAATCAAATACTGACTTTTAGGTAAATAACATAAAATAAATGATATGATATGAGATGGTCAATAAGGCAACGAAACCTCTCTTTATAATGTATCAGAGTGTGCCATGAGTAAAATAGGGGAAGGATTAAAGAAGATACTTTTCTCAATAAAGCCACTGTTTTAAAATCTGGAATTGAATTTTCTTTATTCTTTTTTCTCAGAGAAAGTGAAGGGTTGAGACTATAACTTAAAATAAAAAAAAAAACTTTCAAGTCGTGTTGAGTTTTTTGTTACATGCCTGTAGATTTGCTTTTTAGAAATCGTCATTCAACATTTGGAACAAGGAAAGACAGGAAAGGTGAACGGTTAAATAACCCTGCTTTTAATCAATCTGAAACATTTAACTAAAAAGCAAAGAAACTATTGTTTTCATTTTTAGTTGGAGGTAAACTCCTAAGTAATTCTAATAAAAGAGACTGAGAAATTTTTTAGTAAATGGAAACACGGTTAGAATAAGCACATTTTGAAAGATATTACTTATTTTAAAATGTCAGTTCTTGTAAGCATTTTTTAAAAAATCATTATATTAAGAGTACCCTTCATAAATACTAAAACACTGTAATGTAGCAAAACTAGAAATTAACGCCTAAAGCCTAAAAATTATTCCTATAACTTGAAATTACAAAACATCTTAGTACATATTGAGACAAAGAGGAATTTTTATAATGTAATGAGATTATTTTACAAGCAATAAAAAAATGAGAACACTACTAGAAAGACTTATGAGATAAATCAAAGCTCTATTCAGTAAGTACAGTCATGGCCTTAAACACTTTTCACTAAGAAAAAAGAAATAAAACACATGAACTATATCCAGTCAAGAAATCAAGGAAAAAAAAATAAAATCAACGCAAGCAGGAGATAAGCAGTGGTGATCAGAGGAAAGATAAGGAAATTAGCAAATAGAAAAACAGAATTAAGAATCTATAGATATTTCTCAAAGGTAAATCAATGTCCACAATCCTGTATCCAAGATTTCAAAACCCACAAACTCAGAAGTTTGTTCCTAAGTTTACGGTAATCTCTTTTGGTGGCAAAGCACCAACTGAACTGATGTGAAGCTGTTTAAAATATTTATTTAATCTACTTAGTGTGAATGTTGATTCAAGCTGCTGCAGAAATATTAATATATTTGATTATGAGC